ACGTATTAGATAGAAGCATAGACGTATTGGATAGAAGCATGGATGTATTGGATAGAAGCATGGATGTATTGGATAGAAGCATGGACGTATTGGATAGAAGCATGGAAGTATTGGATAGAAGCATGGATGTATTGGATAGAAGCATGGATGTATTGGGTAGAAGCATAGACGTATTGGGTAGAAGCATGGATGTATTGGGTAGAAGCATGGATGTATTGGATAAAAGCATGGATGTATTGGATAGAAGCATAGACGTATTGGGTAGAAGCATGGATGTATTGGATAGAAGCATGGATGTATTGGATAGAAGCATGGATGTATTGGATAGAAGCATGGGCGTACTGGATAGAAGCATGGACGTATTGAATAGAAGCATGGATGTATTGGATAGAAGCATGGATGTATTGGATAGAAGCATGGATGTATTGGATAGAAACATGGATGTATTGGATAGAAGCATGGATGTATTGGATATAAGCATGGATGTATTGGATAGAAACATGGACGTATTGGATAGAAACATGGATGTATTGGATATTAGCCCATGAAATTATGACGTCTTGACTTATCTCAGCTTCCGTCCCCCTTCCACAATAGCACAGTGGTAAGTTTGCGGACTTATAACACTAGAAACCGGATTTCGATAACAGCGGTTGTCACAGCACAGATAGCCCATTGTGTAGCTATGTGCTTAACAACAAAAAACAACTAATCTGCCTGTAGCTATGTGCTTAACAACAAAAATCAACTAATCTACCTAGCTATGTGCTTAACAAAAAAAAACTGATCTGCCTGTAGCTATGTGCTTAACAACAAAAACAACTAATCTGCCTGTAGCTATGTGCTTAACAACTAAAAACAACTAATCTGCCTCACAAATTGTTTTAAATAATCATAATCTCAGTCTTACGTCTTTCGTATCTTTCTTGAAATTTATATACTTTAAAAAATGGTTTCAGTTTTAGTTTCTTTAACCCTTACCTGACATGAAGTTTCTAAATCTGCATAGTACCCGTTAAGTGGTTGTTTAATACACGAGAAAGATGTTCGTGGAATGGAGTTTAACGTTGGATAGTCCACTCCAGCCTCACCGGGGATTCCATCTCCATCAGTATCTGGAGGTAGCGAAGCCACAGCCAAGTCTGCATCATAATTCTTCACTTCGGGCTGTGCCATCTCTGCGGACCTCGCTGGAGCTGAATGATGACTTACTGGTACAGTTCTTCCACCAGCTCTGGAAGGACGACTCATAGATACGACTCTTCCTCTATCGTTATACTTTTCGACTGCAGATGTCTGAGGTCTTAGTCTGCGCCTTCTCTGTCGTTGCCGCCGTTTTTCTCTGGTGATACTAACCGGCCGTCTTCGTGTGACTTCACCAAGAGGCTGTCTTCGAACTACTGAAGCGTCTTCCATCTGAAGCCGATCCTTTAAATGTGGCCGGTTATTATACTGTGAGTTGGAGTCGGTCACCTGCGCATACACGGGTTGTCGTGGAGATGTCATTTTCCGTCTTGCTGCCTGTTTTTGCTGCTTCTGTGACTCTAAAACACTTTTCTCGAGTTCAGCATAAAGCTCTTCGAGAGATTTACTTCCTTGACCATTGATAGTGGAGGCGGGAAGGCCCGAGGACTGGGGCTCACCGACGGATACTGGGGGTTGTGGAACGGGTTCCTGAAAGGACTGAGGGTGGCGAATGTGTTGAACAGGATTAGGGACTCGCCTGTTGTTATATTGTCGTTGATTAGTGTAAGTCGGTTGCTGGGGTTGAGCAGGCTGAGTCTGTCTGTGTTGGTTGTTGTTGATGTTATATTGCTGAGAGTATATGTCAGGTTGTTTGTGAGGTGGAACAGGCTGAGTCTGTCTAGGTTGGTTGTTGTTGTTATATTGCTGAGAGTGTATGTCAGGTTGTTGGTGAGGTGGAACAGGCTGAGCCTGTCTGGGTTGGTTGTTGTTGTTATATTGCTGAGAGTAGATGTCAGGTTGTTGGTGAGGTGGAACAGGCTGAGCCTGAGTATTGGTGGATATGTGTTGCTTTCGGGAAAGAGTTTCAACAGATGGAACGTGGAAAGAGTCGTCCAGACGTTGTTGCTCTCTTTGTTGCTTGTGATACTCATTGACACGTCTTTCTAAAGAAGCATAGATTTCTTCCAGTGACGGCCCTCCTCTTGATGATGTAGAAGCTGGAAGACCTGCCTGTTGGGGTTCACTGGGAGCCTGAAATTGTCTAGAAGATGTCACAGATGGTGTTGGTGAACGGTCTGGAGGAGACGATACTGGTAAACGTTGGATCTCATAATGTTGAGGAGGTAAATTTTGGTTTCTTTCGGGTTGGATAGGTGGATCTTGGACCTCAGGATATTCAGGAGAAGAATGGCGAGGTGTCGAAGGGGATTGGTTAGCTGGAGCAAATACATTCGGATTGACAGCTGATGGTGGTTTGTACACGTAAGCACTAGGGTCGAACAAGTTATTGGCGGGATTTGGTGTCCTGTCTTGTTGATTTTCATGCAGATAGACATAGCCTTGACCCACAACACTGGCCGCTAAACCTATCGGGAAAAAATAATAATTAAAATAGCCTCGATAATACCAATGACCAAAACTCTGGCTGCTAAACCTAGCGGATAAAATAATAATTAAAATAGTCTCGATAATACTAGTTACTAGATCTCACAGAATAGATTAGTGCTAAAATATATTTCACAATAATCTACTAAGTCTAGCAAAAAAATACTTGCTAGAGGTTAATGATACTAACTGCTAGGCCTAGTAGAAGAAAACCTTCTTTGAATTTGATAATACTGGTTGCTAGGTCTAATAGAAGAAAAGATTGTCTGAAATTGATAATACTGGTTGCTAGGTCTAGTAGAAGAAACATTTGTTTAAATTTGATAATACTGTTTGTATTCTATATGGAACTGATAGATGCTCTAACTGGTAAAAGATGTTTATAAAACTTTCCTTACCGACGAGGAGGAGGACACTCTTCATGGTATAGACCTGCAAGTCAGACAAGTCAGCTTATTGGCAAGAAATACTAAAAAACTAAAGATGAAAATATGTAGTATTGAATATGTGATAATGTAAATACATATGGAAATACTCAAAGTAATATAACTTATGATTAAGTCAACGTAAGAATAATTGAAAATTTATAGAGCTCATGATCTGTACCTTAACCAATCACAGCACATTTGAAAGTATCAACTTATGAATATCACCAATCGCAACAGTTTTACAGATGATAAGGCATAAAAATAAGTCAATCACTTTACATTTAGAAGCATTAAAAGTTACCAAGCGTGAAACGCTTGGGAACAATTTTAATATTTGATTTAGGAGCAGAGATAGAAAGATTATTTTAACTAAAAATCAACGGGCACCAAAGATCAGGCAAAAAAACAACAACAGCGAAGAATGATTTGTTCTGTACTTCAGAGAATTGTTTCAAAATTAATTTGTTTCCAGATTATAACATAAAACAAAATTACTGACAAAATCAACTCTCCCCTGCTGAACCCTAATTTTTAAAAATTTTTGTTAACACAATGACAACATAACTCACAAAATCAACTCTCTCTCTTTTTAAACCCTAATTCAATACTGATAAATATTAAGATATAATATAACTGTCATCATATCTAACATATATGCAAATGTAACAAATCTGTTTTCACACCTAACAATACTTAAACGCTGAACATCCAATCAGAGCAAGTTACTTCCTTAAGGCGAAACAAGATTTCAAATTGAATATACGTTTCTTACATTCTTACTTATCAAGATCATAATGCATTGTTTCCTCAGCACGTACGTACCCTCGGTATTAACGATATTTTCCGTTGTTATTTTATTTGATATATAAACAGATATAACAAAGCTATTATGATATTTAATAGATTCTTGGATAAAATAAAGCCTAACAAATACTCAAACACAAGAAAGCTTTTATTCTATCCTATATTTGATTATATATATAAGTTGTTATTTATTCCCAAACTACTGTTCAATATTATATTTACTGAATTATATCAAATCAAACATCTTACCTGATATAACTACCTACATATATATGAATTTCGCTACCACTCTTACTTCCAGAAAAGTGTCCCAACCAATCATTTTACTCTTTTATATACATGTTCTAGATTTTCATTCTTGCTGTGCTACTCCTCAAGGTCCCGAGCTTCTCCCGCCTATCCTTGTGGGCTCAAGGTTTTTTCCGTGGAATCCGGGTTAGACCTGAGGGGCTAACCTTGCGGCTTACTTGAGCCATCTCTTGATCCTAATTCAGTAAAACAAGTTTACCAGTTCGTCGTCACAAAAAACAGACAAACAAACAAATTCCAAAGAATCCAACAAATCTTTTCAAGATCAACGGTTAAAACGAGTATGATAAGTGAATAATTAACTGACTTTTTCAAATTATAATCTTACTTCTCAGGTTTGGTGGCCACCTATAAGACTAAAACTAGAATAATAACTGTTGTTTTAGTCTGCACTTTTAATACCAGAACGAAAGTTAATATTGTTATGATTGTTGTAATATAACTGAGTTAAAAGGAGTATTGTTACGATCAACACAGTAGAGTTCTAGTAAATGGTCAACTTAATGGGAGTATTGTTATCAAACGAAAGTTAATATTGTTATGATTATTGTAATATAACTGAGTTTACTGAGGTTTACTCAGTGTATATGTGCGTTTTATCAAGACCACTAAGTTTTTAAATATTCTAATAAAACTCAATACAGTTTTTGTTTCTATTTTTCTTAAGCATAAAGTTAAACAATAGCTATTTGACGTTTAGCGTTATAAACTCTCAAACTTACCGCTGAGTGATCGGGAGGCAAAATTAAATATAGTAAATTTAAGACATAACATTTGGAAATATTTTAACTGTATCACGTATATTGTAGAATAAACAATATCAAAAACAATTCTAGAGAGTGACTGTCATTATCAACATTGTAGTATAAACATAATTATACTAGAATTCAAAAGCTATTGTGATCACACACATTGCAGAATAAATATAATCAAACAATAATTCCAACGAGTGACTGTCATAAATCACATTGAAGAATATGTAAATATAACTCAATTCGAATTCTAAAGATTGACTGTCATTGTATAAGTTACAGAATATATATGATTAAACTAGGATTCTAGAGATTGACTGTCATAGTATAAGTTACAGAATATATATGATTAATCTAGAATTCTAGAGACTGACTGTCATAGTATAAGTTACAGAATATATATGATTAAACTAGGATTCTAGAGATTGACTGTCATAGTATAAGTTACAGAATATATATGATTAATCTAGAATTCTAGAGACTGACTGTCATAGTATAAGTTACAGATTACATATGATTAAACTAGGATTCTAGAGACTGACTGTCATAGTATAAGTTACAGAATATATATGATTAATCTAGAATCCTAGAGACTGACTGTCATAGTATAAGTTACAGAATAATATGATTAAACTAGGATTCTAGAGATTGACTGTCATAGTATAAGTTACAGAATATATATAATTAAACTAGGAATCTAGAGATTGACTGTCATAGTATAAGTTACAGAATATATATAATTAAACTAGGAATCTAGAGATTGACTGTCATAGTATAAGTTACAGAATATATATGATTAATCTAGAATCCTAGAGATTGACTGTCATTGTAATAAGTTACAGAATATATAAATCTGCTGAGTAAAGCCAGTAACTGAAAGTAGGTGACCTTATTTAGGAGGTGGATCTGAAGATTTGTTGCATATAGTTGGCCCAGTCTACCAGTAGCTCGTTATAGGATTTATTGCTTACTGTACAAATGATCACAACAGGTTTAACAGCTCCACGTGTTTAGTTTTACTAAACTCGTTTTGTTTATTTCCGTTTACATTTTCTTGCATAATAATTAGTTACGCTGTATTGTTGGTCACGTGATATTTTTACGACTATAATTTCTTAACAAGTAACACGGGCTGATAGATAAAATCGTACGATATTGTAGGTCACGTGATGTTCTTGCGAATATGATTTCTTAGTCAGTAATTCGGTCCAATTGTTTGTTTTTAGAGAAAATCCAGGTTGGATTAGCTGCTATGTCCATCGAGCTCCAGATTTTAGCATTATAAGTCTGTAAACTTCCCGATATCCCACCAGGGGACAACTCGGTTTGATACATAAAGTCGTACAGTATTGCTGGTCACGTGATTTTCTTAGCCAATAACTAGACATGATAGATAAAATCGGTATTGTTGGCCACATGGTGTTCTTGCGAATATGATTTCTTAGACATTAACTGGGCCTAATGCATAAAATCATACGGTATTGGTGGTCATGTAATGTTCTTAGCCAATAACTCGGCTTGATACATAAAAGCATTACTAACTTTTAAGTGCAACACCGTGAGTCCTAGATAGTCCCACGTTTTGAGTTGGCAACGTTGTCTCATCTGCCATTTGGCTTAGAGACTCATTTCGTTTATAAACTTAATACTAAATAAATCTCTGGCTGCGTGTTAACTAAAAATATTCCAGTCGCTGGCTATGTGACACATTTTTCTATTTGTTTTTGTAGTTTAAACCTGCAGAAGCCATTAGTTGTGTGACGCATATGATTTGTTGCTCGGGCATGCACAAAATACTGTCTCTGTGTGACACATTTATTAATTAGCTAAAGACTAACTCAATGGCTATGTGACTTGGTATCATTGGTTAGCTCAATACTACACAACTCAATGACCGCATGACTTGTGTCGTTGGTTAGCTAAAGGTTACATAAGTCACTCCCTGGCCGCGTGACTCGTGTCGTTGGCTAGCTAAATACTACATAACTCAATACTTTTGTGACTCTTGTGGTTGATTAGTTAGTAGCCAGATAACTCACTAGTTATGTGACTTTTGTGGTTGTTTAGCTAAAGATTACGTAAGCTTCTAAAAACTTTCAGGACTTATGTATGATGCAACGCTATAGTTTTCGAGATAATCAATTTAGAATTGTTTGGATAACTCATTGCATATTTATTTATTGTTTTATTGAAACTATTAATATGTATTGAGAATTAAGCTCAAGTTCCGAAGAAATATTCTTATTAAACACAAAATATTATAATTCTAAGCGTTTGTGTAATGACTCTCTCATTGATGGGAACATCATCTTACCAAGTGGACATGTACCATCTTCCTTGATGGAACATCA